AGCAAATGAAGAGTAAAACAAACTAATTGAAAGATCATTTCGATTGAATAAATTACCGGTTTTGGCCAAAGTGGGAACTAAAGAATTTACACAAGGGAGTGGAAGCTTGAATTTTGATTAGAAAAGATACTTTGTGTTAATTCTTCAAATGATATTGGGGGTAATAAAATCAACCGCGTGGTAAAAATGGTTGAAGTACATTTGGCTATCATTTTTATAATGTTTGAAAAAATACTACCGTATCAATTATAAAGCATAAGTGGTTTCTTTATAAGGAAAATTATTTAACCATTACAAAAGTAGAAAGTATCCGTATGAACCAATTATGCAAATTCAAGTCTGGTTTTAGAACGCAACTCTGAGAAATTAACGAATCAAAGTTTAATATTAAAAAATGCATTTCCGGATACCGCAATTTATGAGTCATGTATTTCAGGATCGGGATATGGGCTTCTTTTATACCAAAACGAGCAGGACCTACATTTTGTCAAAACCACAGAAAATACGAACAAAATTGCTAGATAATGTAATCCTATTATAGACAAACTTTGTACATCTGTACAAACTCCGCTGAAGGTCCGCAATGACATAGCCTTTTTATGCTGGATTTTGAATTTCTCTTTATAATTACATGTATAAAGGTCATATACCAAATTTCAAGACACCCTAATGTAGGAGAACATCCTATTCTACTCCGTGCATTATTTAAGCACGTGAATCAAACACCAAACCTCCCGGAGGCCAGCTAGAGATCTTATTTACGTGAAAGAGTCCAAAGTGCCTGGCGGGAATCGAACTTCATAGCAATAAAGGGCCAATGGGCCGTATTTTTTCTCGTTTTTATTACAATGTATTATTATTTATTATCATTATTATTTATTACTATTATTATTATTATTATTATTATTATTATTATTTATTATTATTATTAATTATTAATTATTATTGATCTATTCAACACATAGAGGCTCTTACTAGGGTAGACACTGCACATTTCTTTTTTTCTTTTTGGAAATTTACAAGCAATAATTCTTTTAACGAACTTAATAAAATTAATCGAACTTCTTCCCTAAGTATTCACGTGTAATTAGAGAAGTCATTTTCAGATACATGCAATTCTTCCTTAATGATGCAAATCGAACAACTTCTTTCAATAACTCATTTGTCAACTAAATAATAAGCATAATCGTTGAATGTTTGTTTAAAGTTGTACATGATACGTTACGTTAAGTCGTACGTCTCAATTAAAACATAAATCACAATACAAAGGCAACATTTTTTTTGAACGAAATAAGTTTGTGGCTTTAAACCTACCGATTAAGTAATTTGATGGCGTTAATGTGACGATAAAAGAATCATCTGTACATTAAGCTCGCTAATACTAGTATGTTGTGAGCATTACATTTACACAAGAATGATTCCGATTCCCCTATTTTTCTATGAACTTTTTAATAATTCACGTTAGATCGGGATTAAATTTAAGATGATCTTCTATTTAAAGCAAGATATACTTTGAAAGCTGTCTGTACTACATGTAATGGACCGGATAAGGACTTGAACTTACAATTCCTTATTGAGAGGCAACCGCCTTTTCCTACAGGCCGTCTCTACCCTTTGAAAATGACTTTGGTTACAACATAGACATTTATTTTCAATTAACTTAGGCTTATAAACCCGCGATGACGTAATATCAGCAAATGCATAAAATCACAAAGTGTAAATGTTCATACATTTACAAAACATTTTTATCAGAATAAAATTATGACCTATAGAAGAAGGTCATAATGACAATTTATTCATTAGATTAATTTATGCCCATATTTCTCTCATGTACATGGTATATGTTTAATATGACTTAATTATAAAAATATATGACTAGACATATTAATAATTAATTTTTAAGAAAATAAAACATGTGACTCTTCAATTTCACCGGAGTGTGGAAAAAAAAGATATAATTTACCAAAATTCAAACTATGAAGTAATGTCAAGGTTTATGCATCAAATAAATATAGACATACAGACCTATAAGGTAATACATTTTGATATCAAAATATCATAAATATCTTATATAAACAATGAACAGGTCAAGTCTTTTTTTTGGACATAATATTATTTATTTAAATGAGCAAGTAAGTAATCGGGTCAAAATAAACTTTCAATATTGAAAACTGCCTAACTTAATGTTTATCCTGTCTATACAAGAGTATGTAAACATCGTTATCTCAATTCTATTACCATTAAAATGTGAAATCTATATAAACAAATAAAAATAGTTCAAAGAATAACTGAATAAACGCATCCAGTGTTTTCTTTTACTTTGAAGTTAATAAAGTATCTATCTGTAACCATTTAACAAAATGTCAACCATTTTCCCGGACAAAATCGTTGCTTTTGCAGCTCGTGCAGCTTCTTATTATTTAAAACACCCTGGTTTGTGGTATTTTAAATAGATTAAAAACGCTCAGTAATGATTTTATGAGTTTTAAATTTTTGCCTCCCTAAATGCAACGTGCAATGATAATGTATAGCACATAATCTCACATAACGAACAATCTTGATAAAATACTATCGCTTTATGCTGTTCATGATCCATGAAAATATAAATACTGACTTCTTTTGAAGTTGTAAACTTTCTCACGATATTTTCATCTGCCTTTAAAAGTCATAAATATAAAACAGAAGTCGTATCAAAATTTAAAAGAAATTGCCCGGTGATTACTCAATAAATATAGATTAAGACAGGCAAATTATAAAACGTTTATCCGCTTCGTGGCTACCGCAGAGAGCGGGCATCGCTCTTGAAAGACCAGGGCATATAATGTACGACCGCTATTTCGTATCTACAGACGCAATGTCTGTTTTTCGTCAATGAAAACTGACCATGTTAAGCCGAGCTAAAATATACGGTGGCGCCGGGTGGAGAGTTTGAACACAGCAATATCAGCACATGTTGGGTCTTCAAAGAGACATTTTAAAATGTGGACCACGAGTTATTTTAGCATTAAAATAAGAATACAGATTAGATCTCGCTTTAAACAAACCCTTCTTGAGTCAAATTATGAATTTACAAAAAAAAAAGAAAAGAAAAAAAAAAAGGATAAAATGAAAAAAGAGAATTTTGCCTACATGTCTGCATCTTTGTGAACTGATTTGTATATTTGTTAAGACATAATTTTAAAAATCATTTCTATATAGTAGTTCGCCAAAGGAAAAGATTTCTATTAGACTCGTCTTTCGTTATTATATACAAATGGTTTGTTTGTTTCTTGTTTATTTGTATGTATATTATATATACTTTTTGGAATAAATATTCAAGCCAATAGTTACCTATTTTTCAGGATTAAAATCTCTCTCTCACTATGTTAAATAATGCAAGATGACATCAAAAATAACTTTACTAATTATTTAAGTGTCATTTCAATATAACTTAACAATCAAAAATCAATATTTTGAACAATTTTGCGGCTTAATATTCAAAAGAAATGAACCAATCAAAATATCAATACTTATTAAACTCTTCATGGGAGAAGTATCGCGCGCTTGCTTGGCATTTAGCACGAGAATGACGCCCTTGACTCACGCGGATAGAGGTGAGAGGTCAACCTATATCAAATCTCTTGCCTGTCTGCACGCGCCAACAGGCCGTGGGAATGAATATTATTTCGTCTTTATCAAATATATAAATCATTCAAAAACACGAATGTCAAAATTAAACCTTGTATTTTTGTGTGAGAAAGTAACTTTTCGTGATAGAGTGTGATTAAATTTAACGCCTTCCAAAAAGAAAAAAAAAAGATCGCCCAAAAACAATGGTGCCAGGTCGTTACGATTCACCGTATATTAAAATATAAATAGAATAATAAAGCCGAGACTTTGACTTTATTGTATTACAAATGAGATGAGAAACACAAATTTGTACTCATTTGTCCCGGACTAGGATCAACATACATGTGTTATGATAAGACCATAATTAATAAATAAATAACTAAACTAATAAATTGAAAGATTATTAGGCCCAGTCCAGCTTAAATGTACATTGTATGCTAAAAACTTATTTAAGACTATACCAGACTTGTGAAACAAGTCCTTCGCTCGAGCACCCTGCAATTGTTCGGTTCGAGTTGGATTCCTGAAACTAACCAATATGGTGTCATATGAGTTAACATGGTCGTGACCGGGGTAAAACTCGAACTCACTCAGTGTGGAGTGACAGTCATCTTAACCACTAGGCTCCCCTAAAAAATAAAATTTGACATGCACGTGTGCAATCATTGCTGACTATCTGCAGAAAATATTTCTATTGTCCCAATAGGGTATTCGCTTTGCTTCTTATACGGAAAACCCCTGATACAGTGGGAATAGAGCACATTTCGGTTCAGTTTTAATCTATTTACTGTAGCTGTAAACGGATTTGGGTGGGTTTTTTCGCTCGTGGCCTGGGGTCCGACTTGTCATCTGAGATTCGAGTCATGCTATTAATCGCCGACCATAAAGCACAATTTTAAATGACCAGCATGGCTATCTCAATTCGAGTTTTGGAACTGGTTGGTCCGTGATGTAACTGACCAAGATAAGTATTAGAGCGTTCATTGACGCAGACGATAACTTTCGAGTAAAATGATACTTTTCTTTGGAAATTAAATTTTTCTACTTTTATCCTTCTGTGAGTTACGTAGTATATTCGACAATATATGTTCAAATTGAATTCGTGTTTAAAATACCATAGGTTAAAACAACATTGTTACTTAAAATACACAATGAAATCATTATATGCACGAAATAACGGCTCTAAAATAGACTTAACCAGTTTTTCTCCCAAAAGAAAACTTAAGATTTTCCCCGGAATTTCTTTGAAAATAACATTACAATATTTTCTAAAATATTGTTATAGACGAAATGATAATTACATTAATGACAATTAATACCTGAATATGAAGGTCAAGGTTATTTTTCTGGAATTTTGGACAGGATGTACTTGCACCAAAATAAACACGATATAGGGTTTTCATATTTTCTATTTCGCAACAATCGTAAAAAACAAACATAATAAACATAACATTTTAAACACAAGTAATGCACTTTTTTTACATATTAATCAATAATAATGGTGTAAAAGTTTATCTCCAGGACAAAGCACTAAAATGTTTGTAAATTGTATTATAACCTCGTGTACATTAACATTGTGTGGTTATATAATGAAAATATGAGGCAGTCATGTCAAAAGACATTCTGCACGAGTCTATTGTCTTCCAATGGATATGAGAGATTGCAATGTCAAACCATTTTAATAACGAATTTGGAAGCAATTAAAAACTTTTTGTATAATCAATTAATATTAAGTCCAGAAGTCTACCAAGGCCGCCAAACATCTTCAACTTTTAATGGACTCGGTGTCCTACCAAATTTAACAAGTCCCTGTAAATTAATGTCCATTTGAGACGCTGTATATGACGTCATTTCATGTGATGAGGGTGAACAAGATGGCGACGACGAAGTATCTGAAATGTCTGAGTTCGATACTTGAGAAAACGCGGAAGAATCGTAAGCTTTCATGCTTGCTTTTGTTCTTGGTGGAGATCTCGAGGTATATAGTGGTACAGCTTGGTTACAAACCGGAGCTGAGGTGGAATGAACATTTTGTTGCATCGGCTGAGATTGTCCGAGGTACACCGCAACAGCGGACGGAGAGTTTGTGTTGGGCACTATTTGAAATGAACCACACAGCTGAGCAGTATTTCCTGCTGTACGTTGTGGATGCTGTTGTGAGTTTTGTCCCTGATTGTACATGTTTGAAACGTTTAAGTTTTGTACTTGCTGAAGCACTAATGGCGATGTATGAACGGCTGGCATAAGAAGACAACCATTTTGAGCACTATGTAGTCCTTGCTGATTTGATTGGTGAGGAATTTGAACATTAAGCGGTTGCTGACATTGTTCGGATGTCTGACTATTTAACTGAGTTACAACGTTGCCTAAATGGCTCATCAGTCTATTTCTGGTTTCCCCCTCGACGCCTTGAACTGATCCAAGGTACCTCATGACCTCGTTCGCACATTCGTTGAACCCGGCCTTGTATTTGGTGACGACAGTCGGGTCGCAGGTCATAGCTTGTGATACCTGTTGACGCTGAAGCTGACGTAAGTGTTTTACCGTCATTTCCAGGATATCCGCTTTCTCAAGCTTTGAGTACTGGTTTGTCTGAAAAATAGAAATAAGAAATTCATAAATAACTAGAAATACATTAACCTTAAACCTTTAAAGTACACGTTTTAGTAAAAATAAAATGACTAAATTAATAATGCGATTCTTAAATGTCACGGTATAAAAAGATGTAATTATATTTCGTTGTATTTGAATATACAATTATACAATACGTTAAGATAGTATCGCGACATATCCAATTATCCGCATTTCAACTGCCATTTATCAAAGAGAGCTCTCGTGGGAAAATCTTTCTAAAATCTCAGAGAGAAGACACCATGACGTGACCTATGGCATATTATCTTCTCTTTATCTCAGAAGTGAAACATTCACGTATATACTAAAGAAACCTGTTGCTACAGAAGTTAAAAGCGTCCAGTTTGCACGGCGTTCTAGCCAGGTCATTAATACTGCTTAAGTTTACACGTTTGAATAATTTAAATTGATCTTTTAATTAATTATTAACAATTAATTCGATTAATTAACCCAAATCTTCTTCAACAAGTTACTAAAATATGTTCATGTAATCATATCTATGTAAACAACTTACATCTTTTCTCATCGCTTGAAGCACCAACGTCTTTAGCTGTGTCAGGCAGTTGTTAATGCGTGCCCTTCTTTTCTTTTCCATAAACGGTTTATTACTCTAAAATAAGAAACAGATATTATATTTACAATTTTGTTAAAAAGAATGTTAAATGACATCAATATTCAATTAAATATCGTCAACTTTTATCAATCAGTTAAGTTAATAAAGAGTACAAGCATGTGATGTTTCCGAATTTATTATCATTTTTTATCATAATTAAAAAAGTAAAATATGTTGTGATATTATTTAAACATACCCTTTTATAAGCAGAATCTTTTTTCTCCATTTTGTTTGGTGAATTCATAATCCTATTTTCGTTGACAGTGTCAGACATAGCACTTTAAAGCAACTTGTTTAATTGTACAATATTCAATGTGTCAGTGTGTGAACGGTTAGAAAACTGAAGTAAATCTAAATCTACAAGTGGTTTTAGATTTGTATTTATAACCTCGGGCAGACGACATAAGTTCGCCATGTGAAGGAATTTGATCTGTCTTTCCCACGCTTACAATCCATCACTCGTAGCCAATCAGAATCGAGAGATAGCAACAGCGCGTTTCTGGTCTCGTGCCGGATCTCATCTGATTGGTTAAAACGCGAGATCGACCGATAAGTCGCAATTTCCGCTGTCAGTCAACGGGTAATGAAAGCGGACTCACGTGCCCATGTTATTGTGCACTGGCCTGCTATCAGTATGGGAAAACCACGCCTCCAATACGTTTTTGTTGGTCGTGATCTCATTCCGTTCCACTTGGGCTAGTCACTAAATAATCTAACTGATACAACCGTGGTTTAACAAAAGCTCTGATTACCGCCCGTGACTAGCTTATCGCAAGATGTCTATCGGTATGTGAACACTATTGTATAGCAGCGTGGGAAATTCGTCCAAAACTGTTCAAAATGCCTAAAGTGTCTTCATTTAGCGGTGAAGAGTCAAACCGATTGTCATCAAATACGGTCACGTGAGCTAAGCAACCTGTTGGAATACAAACAGCGCATTGTGGCGTCTAATCCCGGAAACGGTATCTTTAGTCGCTGGCTATAGACGGTACGGTTAATTATACCGAGTGGCACTTTATTGATTAGGTTTCTCTAAATATTTGTAAAAATTGTGAAAAATGATTCTGGTTTATGGGAATCACAACCATTGTTAAAACCATTTAAATGGCTTTAAACCTCCGGGCTTAAAGAGCTCTTTAATACTGCGTAGAATGTTTATAAGGGTGCATAATGATATGTTCCTAACATAGATAGATAGATATACCTAATCAAGGAGATATATTTTATATCTGTTATATGACCTTATATAATGAATTTCTTGAGCAGTAGTTCACTTGTGCTCTTCAAGATTTTACACCTTCATAAACTCAGACCTGCAACATCGGTCCACGCTCTTGTGGCAATATTTTCTGCCACTATGCATCCCTGGCCTTGAGAAATTCAATAGTTTGGCAAAGTATAAGCCGGACCAGAGTTGGTGGCACCATTTCTGTCAATCCGTTCAATCAAAAATATTCAATTAATTTACGTTGAAACAATAACAAGTGTAAACTATTAATCAAGCTATCACATGCAATTTTTGTAGACTTTCCCACAGTTGAAACTGGCGCATGCGTCACAAACATTTACATATGTTGTCACTATCGAATGTTTAAATCTATGCTGTCTTGCGTAATTGCCTGTCATTGATATAAACATGTCAACGGGCGGCTTTTAATTGATCAATGTCTTAGATCAATATTTATTCGGCGCACTTCAAAATCGATTTTTGATATCTTTACCCCAGGAGATTTAACGCTGAAGTAACGGAATATTCTTATCGCGTAAAATCACGTCTGGGATTGATTATCTCGTGTGTAGGTCACATGATAGTGTCAAAGGCGCGTGCGGGAACGAACGCTCGTTGGCAGTATTCATGTATTTGTGACAAAACTAATGCTCTGCGAGAGAGATTTTTAGTCATCAATGCTTCGTCAGAAAACTGTAATATGTGTTGTATTGAGGGTAATTTATAATACAGAAACTATAAAATAAAATTATTATAAAAGTTCATAAATTTATGAAAATACTAGTATTTACGGTTTTTAAGGTCAAAGATTTGAGTATGTTATTGCATACTAAATGTCTACCACCCTATGGCATAACTATGCAATGCTTTAGAAATCAGTTCACTTAATTAATCAATATAATTTTCATTAAATTGAAATAAACGCCTGGGTCCGTCTTGTCGGGGCAGTGTGATATATGAGATTATATTTAAGTAAATTTAACAAGTGTGTCAAAAATGCACATACAAACATCATGCTCTTCAATTCTGGAGGAAATAAAAGTATCTATCTACGTGTTTTTTTTTACATACAAAGCTTTTAATGCTATAAACCTGAAAGAAATAAATGGTAAGCACGGAGATTTTGAGCAATGTTTATCGTATTGTTATTTAATTATATGTTTGCATGATATACATAGAATATAAACTGGCGCTCTTTGTACCATCATATATTATACCGCTTTAAAGCCTACTGTAGGATCATAAATGGTAAATTATATTTTATACGTGGTTTATTAGTTTTTCATTTCAACATTATTTGAATAGATAAAATCTGATGAGTTCGTGGATCTATGAAGCGTGGCCCTGAGAAAATCTACCTCGCCGAAAACTAAACTTCAAACAGGTGCCCCGCGTATCAGACCAAGCGATAAACGATAGGATAAAAAGAAATGAAAATATTTTATCATAATATTGTGTAATAAAGTAATAATGATAATTAAAAAATACTTGAATCATGAAAATAGAATTCCCCTTTAAAACTATTATTAATATAGCAGGAAGAGAAAGTTAATGTTAATAAATGGAAATGTATATTGTATTATTCTGGTATATTGTGACTAATTATTCATTTTTGTATAACTTATAGCTTCTAAGTTTAGTTTTTCAGAAATATGAAATGCATAATCCGTAAGGTTAATTGACAGATACGTTTGACGGAACTTTATGTTATCACTATTTTAGTAAAGTATTATAATTATGCTGATTGAATAAAATATTTCATTTTACCAGGAACATAACATTATTGACTATATCTCCGATTTTTGTTTCTATAGCCTTTAATGGGACAGTACTTTACTGTGAAATATGTAAGATTTTATAGGCATTTTATAATTTAACAGACTAAAAAAATGTTTCTTTTTACAGTAAGTTACACCCCGCATATATCTCATCTAATTAAACGTATACGTACCCGGTAAATTACAGGGAAAATTAGTGGAGACATGGGTTTAAGACTATTTAAATGAACCAAATAATGTTGCGGTTTTCAAAAAAAATCAGTTTAAATCCATACAAACCAATTTTCTCACGTCTCAATCGTTATAAATATTACTGTAACAGGTGATCAATTGAACGGTCCATATTTAGAAAAAGAAAAGAAAAAAAATGACAGAAAAGAATAATCAGAGGAAAGATTATTTTTTACTGACTTCCGGCATTTATAATGGCACGGCACTGTACGGCTTTTATCATACTCCACGTGCGTTACGCAAACCAAAGTTCGTATCAAAAGCTCAAGTGCTGTTAACATTCCTTATAGCACGTGCGCATGTAGAACCAAGGTCCGAGAAATACACTCAAGTATCATTGAAATACTTTGTAATCATGTCAGATGATAAAGAAGCTGAGAGTTATATCGAATTCGTCACGTCAACAGATTTCTGTATGCTTGTGAACTTGCAAAAAGAAAAAAAAACTGGTTTGAAAATGTTCAGATTCTATGGTTATTTAAGATAACATTTAAATGATCGTTTAAATATAAGTTGTGGGAATGTCCACAATTTATTTTTGTAACTTTATATGGACAAAATTGGATATACGTACACTGGGGAAAGAGACATTATAAAGTATTAAAATCCATACAATAAAATACATAAATGTTCATTGTTTCTCATATAATAAACGATAACGTTTTCTTTTACTGATACATGTAATTAAAGTACTTAAAAACTTCGGACAGTTCCTTTTACAATGATCCATGTTAACTTCTAACTTGAGATATAATCATATATGGAGCACATGCAGTCAAGACTTTAGATTAGATTTACGCAAATAACAATTCATTTCGCAATAGCATCGCTCAATTCAGAATCAAATTTATTACGAACACGTGCACACGTGCAAATGTTACCACCTCTGCGAAGACACTAATAGCCACTTTCATTTTTTTTCACTCGGATGCGACTTCCTTGGCAATAATTTTGAAATGCTCCGCTCAGTCGGATTATCCTGGTTGTTCTATTGTTCTTTTATTTAAAGAGGACGTCCCTGTAACACTTGGAATTTCCTGAATGGACCTCACATGGCTACGGTAGCGTTAATTATGGCAAACCTCTCGCGAAAATTAATGACCTAACAAGTAAAATGTCAGCTCGAACCTTATGGTCAACCGATCGGACAGTATTTGTATTGCAGTAAAAATGCAATTAAACTTCTAATTGTGAGAATAAATTTGCAATGAATTTTGCATTACTGCCCTTCAATAGAGAATAAAGTACACTGGTATTTCATGAGACAAGAAGTTTAAATGAAACTAGTTTTTATAGCATACAGTATATGTTTGATGTATATCAACAATTCTCTTTCCCTTTTAGTAAATATGTGCTTTGCACGTGCGGTATGCCAATAGTTAAATATAATACTATAAAAATGTCTTAGAGTTTGCCACATAACGGGTAATTATTTGAATTTTCTTCCTAATTCGTTTTTAAAATGATTTCAGCTCTTTCATACACTAAAGCACAGCTATAAAAGAATATATTTATTCGCCTTTGCAACATTGGCACTACTTTTACACTTAAATATAAAACCTTGAAGAATATATACATCTCCAATATGGCTTCATGAACCTCGTGCTGAGCAAATAACCAATAATACTTACAATACAGTCTGGTCAAGCCGACATTGACCATACTTTATATTACGGCAATAAAAACCGTAGCATGAAAATTACATAAATATAAAACAGTGAAAGACCACCAAGCGGGCATGTCTCACAACTAGCCGTTAACGTGATATTTATGTCTTTCAAATGACCACATGTAAAACTTGCCTTATAATCAAAACATGGAATTCTTCGATGTTAATATTCTCCCTAGCAAATGATGAGTAACTTCGGACTTTGATCCAAAACTTTTATCATCGCGTTTTATTATTTTTATTTCATTTTTATTGGGCGATCACACTTTCACATCTTCGCTCGTTAACGGTCAGTGATTATCTTTATCTGGACAAAGGCTGGTACTTGGCGTGATAGGTCACCGTAAGACCTTGCCTGGGAATGTGGTCAAACATTAAAGACTCCGGCGGAATGCGTAGTCCACTAGCTGGAATACTGAACATCTGTAGTGATAAATCTGATATAAATCTGATATAAATCTGATATATGTTCCATTAATTCAACATAACAAA